TATCTCATTATAATGAGATACTATCTCATTATAATGAGATAGTATCTCATTATAATGAGATAGTAACTCAATATAATGAGATAGTATCTCATTATAATGAGATACTATCTCATTATATTAAATATACTATCTCATTATAATGAGATACTATCTCAATATAATGAGATACTAACTCAATATAATGAGATACTATCTCATTATAATGAGATACTGTCTCATTATATTGAGTTACTATCTCATTATATTGAGATAGTTTTTTTTTTTTTTTTTTTACAGAGTGGCGGAAACGGGCTTCCATACTATTGAGACCCGCTGGCAATGTAAAAAATACATGCGCTACAACATCGAAAAACGATCACTTGGACACACACTTGCTGTTTTATAGCATCAGTAGGTTATTTGTCATTTATGATTAAAAAGAAAATAGGCACATCACATTACATTGTCAGCATAAAGTCCATGAAGTCTTAAAATCATGTAATATAACATATAGAAATCCATCACAACAAAATCAATGTGTTAATGGAGCATAATATTACTGTAGTCAGATATTAAGAATAACACACACACATTAACAGACACACATACACACTATCTGATGATGTGCCAAAAGTGCTAAATGGATGATAAAACATTACATTGTTATGGTAATTACATTACAGGCATTTTTATGGCATGACTCTGTGAGAGTTGGGAGTACCAAGATGGCAGCAGGTGACTTTAGTTTTTTTCAACTATCAGCAATTCAGTGTATAGAGATTAGTGTAGCCAAAGGCTGCAAACACTCTACAAACAGACGTTGAAGACACATGACTGACACAAACATTGACAAATAAACAAGAACAACACAGCACCAACGTTTAACCTTTCTATCAACTATTAGCTTAATTGTATATATTCAATAATTTTTGGCTCAATATCATCATAGACATCGATAGACGCCTCGTCATCGGGTGACAGAGCGGCTATGTTGGGTCAGACCAAGCTGTGGTCAGGTGTCTACATATTAATGTCTATGAATATCATCACTGTGTGTGTGTCTGCTGAGGATGTGGGCTCCCCCTAGTGGTTTAAAAGGGGTTAGGCAGTGAAAGTCAATAGGCCAGGACTCTTATCACCAACAGCCATGTTGAGGACTGAGGCCTCCGTACATCATGGGTTGTGCGCCACTGCTGCAGCCTATTTGCTGCTTTCATGCAACCCCATCAGCATAATGTTCAGCAGTTTGCTGCATTTCTGCACCTGCCAGCCTCCTTAGTAACTCCAGCTACTTATAATTTCAAAGGGAACATTTTTCTCTCTCTGTGTGTACTATAACAGGTGTTTATCACTTCTGAACTTCTACTCTGTTTCAGTCTCGAGGCCTTTTAACCAGAAAGCCATTAAGCAGCACTCCAACATACAGAATAACAGACAAAGGTAACTCTGTTTGTTCATTTTATTATTATTTTAATAACATCTCTGTGAAGCTAATCATGGCCTGATGTCTAAAGCAGAGAGCTCCATAGAAACGGGGGCGGAGCTGTCAGAGATCGACGCCAGGCTGCAGGCGCTTCAGGATTACATGAGGGACCTGGACACAGGACACTGATCTGCTCAGGGGGACAGAGGAGCAGCTGGTTTATCATGTGATCAACTGAGACTAGAGCTCCCTCTAGTGCTGATGTCCATGACTGCAGGACTCCACAATCATCACTATGAAGAAAGCTGGACTATTCTTAATGTCCTAAACACTTAAATAATTTAATATCAACTTCTTAAAATTACAGGTATTTAAGAAGTTTGCAGAAGTGAGTCAATATTTATTTTCTGTGTTTTTTATGACTACCATTTTGAAAGTGCAGAGTTAGATTCCTTTCATGTTTACAATTCTTCATCCTCGGTAATACTGGTGAAGAGAAACTGATCTTTCTGCAGATTTTATCGGGAGATCAAACAAAATCAGTGATTTATCTCTCTATGTTTGTAACCCATGTCACAAGAAAAGAAAATCTAGATGTTGACCCTGGACGTTTGCCTTTCCCCCAGTGCATGCTGGGATTGACTCCAAGCAGATTTGCATGTTGCCAAAACCATTTTCCACCAGCGTGTTTTCTGTTTTTCCTGGAAGGCTCCTAATGATTTTACCCTCATAACTGATCCACGCGTGCATTAATAATAAAGTTTAACTTGTATTGTTCCTGTAGATAAGCCTAAACCCCAGGTAGGAAGGGAACTTCTGTTTTTCCTGGTTATAAATCTGTTTACAAACCATAAAATGGCCAAATTTGTTTTATAGAAATTGTATGCTAACTGACTGTTATTTTTTTCCTGTCTGCCTTTTATACCTCCTAAAGAAATATAAACCTTTAAGAGTAAAACGTTTCTATGGTGGTTAATGAATGGATGAGAAACTTGGTTTACCTGAAATAAATGCTTTGATGTTTGTGGGGTCCGTTACAAGATGCAGGTTAAACAACCTCAGATTCAAATCCTCAACTCTAAATCGATCTAGCCTAAAGTCGGGTACTCCGAGTGCTCGCTTTCACAGCGGCCGCTATAAATTAGTTCAATGAACTCTTAAGTAGGTCAACTCAAGAGTTTTGCACGTGCATAAAAATGATTAAAAAAAGTCTACCAGTGGAGCACTGATTCAACGAGTCACCATGGCAACAGGAAAAGCCTATTTCACCCATCTGGAACTAGAGATTTTAATGCAGAAATGGAGGAAAAAAAAAAAAGTGTTTAAAAGACAGGGAACAGCTACAAAGGAGGAATATAGCAAAGGAGAAGATTTTTGCTGAGTTAAAGTGTAGGTTTAGATTAAGTTAACTATGGCAGGCCATTTTTACACAATTTAAAAGGACTATGTTGTTCCATTTGAAGATCACTTAAACAGGATTCTTTCTGATCAAAATCTACAGATCTATTTATTCACTGGACTGCTGATAAGCCGAAAAAACTGAAGTCACTTCCGCCATCTTGGTTCTCTAGTACCAAGATGGTACTTTTTTTATTTATTTTTTTATGCCCAAAACAACGACAAATACGTTGTTTTATTTTGTAAATCAGGAAATAAAACAGCATGATCGGCTGTAAGGAGAGTGGAGACGGAGGATACTCTGAGTTTACTGAAGAAAACCTGCTACTGACCAGGTTAGCACTGGGGAGAATGTTACTATGGCAACAGAAACAGGCCGAGGAAATTCTTTGTTAAACAAAAGATTTTCTCTGTTTTCAGGTTTAGAAATCAGTTTCAGTGAAACGGACCACAGGGTCGTACAGATCAGTTCTCCTGAGTCAGATTATTCAAGATTCTCAATTTTTCAGAATATCAACAACCTCCACTCTGATTTCATTTGAGCATAAATAGAGGCCCTGATCAAACGAAAGCAGAAAAGTCGATCCCCTATTGCAGCAAAAGGAAAAATGATCAAGAAAAATGTTAATGACGTCGTATGGAGATTACAAAAACATAAAGTGACAGAGACCAGGCTGTGCATGAGTGGGATTAGACAAAATTGAAAGTTTTCTCATCAGCACTACACCTATTTCATTTTCCTGTTCCAACAGAAAAAAGGAATGAGCAAAACACTCAAATTTTCTAAATAAGGACAAACTATACTTTCCTACAGCCTTTGCTAACAAATAGACGCATATATTAAAACATCCATGCTTTTAGATAAAAGGTAACGTGAATAAAATTCTTTCAGGTTGGAATTCTGGGGCAAACATCTTTTCAAACATTGTCAATACTTACCTGCTTTTATCAGTAATCATCCTGCATAAAATTGATATTTCCGAGTACTAATATCTACATTAATTCATTATTTAATACTTTTTTTATTAAAAATACTTATTTATCTATGATTTCACTAAAGACTCCTAGATGAACGCAGAGACACATCATTTTCTCTTTACCCCATTAAACACAAAATCTAGTTCTGAAAAGAGCAGGAATAATGTTAGTATATTGATGTGCATAGTTAACCACAGTGCTTTTGTTATCAAGTAATTATGAATCTATGAAAAAATAGTAAGTAATATATGAAAAATGTAAGTTTTGAATATTCCACTTGATTATTGGTGGAGGGGGGGTGTTGGTGGCCACAAGGGTGGCCAGTGATTGGCTAAGGGTGGCCAAGTTCCCCCATCTAGCTCCGCCCCTGGAAATAACCCAACAAGCTCAAAAACAACGTAGCAGTAAATCGAGATAAAATAATTCAGTCCAATTATCAGCTATTCTGTTTAATTTTTACCTTCTGAATCACACAGCCAGCTTGCTTTCTCGAACAAATATGTAAAAAGTTTACTCTGATTTTTTTCACATTTTCAGTCTCTGTGTGAAATACAAAAGGTGTGTTTATAAGAAAACATATTTAATCAGAGAGAACAAGAAATGTAAAAATAAAACATACTTTATTTACTGAAGGAGCGGTGAATGTGATGCTATCTGTGCTTATGCCTGGAAACCAAAATATGGTTTTGACAGAAACTTTGCTGTTTCAAATTTCTCTTCTTCAAGTTTCACAAAGGAATTTCTTTTTAAATTTCGTTTTCCAGATCAGGTCATCTAAACTTCTGTGGGCGGGACTTTTTCTGGAGTAAGGAGCAAAGGCGTATTCCTATTGGCCTGCTGAACCTCAGCAACATTTTCATTGGTCAAGAGGGAGCGTCTGATTGGCCTTGAAGTGAAGGTCATCAGTGAAATAAAATTAGAAAAGAATACAATTTGTGAAACTTTCTGAGGAAAATTTAAACTATAATTTTTTATGTACAATTTGAAAAAGAAATCGGTGAAAACAGCAAAATGACTTTCAAAATCTTTTCTTTTGATAAATATTTTTTAAAGTTCAACAATGATTGAAGAGAAAAAACTCTTATGGTTACATAAAATTATGTAACCATATTAAAGTCCATCTAATGATGTGGAGCGTAGTGCTCCATCTATAGGCTCCCACAGTCAATTACATTTCTAACACTTTTCTTGTGTCTGATCTCAGTTCAAATGAACAACAGACTGATAACTTCTAGAAATCCTTCTACCAACCAGAGTTAGTTAATTAATTAATTTAACTTTTCTGAATTTTATTGATCTTACGTAAGAGAAATTTACCTCTGCATTTAACCCCTCCCCTTGGAAAACAATGGGCTGCCATCATGGGGGTGCCTGGGGAGGAATCAGGGGTTAAGGGTCTTACTCAGAGACCCAGCGTGGCAGTCTGTGGGAATGGAGCTCAAACTCAGAACCTCAGGATTACAAGCTCTATGCCTTAACCACTAGGCCGCCACTCTTCATTTCACTGAGGAACTGGCTTGAAATGCTGTTTAGGCAACTTGAGGTGAAGTTTTCTAAGAGAAGTTTCTCCTCTCATCTAAGAGGCTTTTTCAGTTCCAACTGATGATGGGGAGCACTGGGATTAATATGCTGTAGGTGCCGATTTGTCTGAAAAACTGACACCCTGAGACAAAAACTGGTTCACCCCAAAGACGAGACACCTAGAAACAAGACCGACAGCCTGGTTAACGCCGTTCAGTGTAGTGAAGAGTGCTCAGACCTGTACATTGGAGAGACCAAGCAACTGCTACAGAGGAGCATGGCTCAACACAGGAGGGCCGACTCCTCAGGTTAGGACTCAACTGTTCCTACACCTGAAGGCTAAAGGACGCTTATTAACGCCATTATTCTAGCCAAGAAAGACTTGGTTTGATAGAGGGGTTAAGGAAGCCATTTTTGTTAACCTGGAAAAAACATCTCTTAACAGAGGACTTGGTCTTAGACTTAACTTTTCACTTACCTCCAAAGCGCTTTTAGGAACAATACCCAGAAGATTCAACTCTCATCTGCCCTCACCTGACTCACACTTCAATGAGGCATGTGACCGGGAGTTAACCCTCTAACGACCATGAAACCACCAGGTGACCTCCATGCCCAATCCAGTGGGAGGGATCATAGCCACCTTTCGTCCCCCGCAAAATTCTTTGTTCCACCTACAATATATTAATCTCAGTTATCTACAGTATATTAATCTCAGAGCTCCCCACCACCAGTTAGAACTGAAGAAGCCTTTTGGATCAGAGGAGAAACTTCTAGAAAACTTAACGTCCAGTTGCATAAACTGAACCCTTCGAGCTTGACCCTGACTTGGATGAATGAGAATGTTCACAGATATTTAATGGAGGAACCTCCGACATTAACTTGACTGGATAATGGCTAATCCAGCTTTCTAAACCGGAAAATCCAGGATATGTGAGGATTAACCCCTGAACTTATTCTGTTCTCACTTTCTAAAACGAAAGCCCAGGAGGAGGGCTGAAGCATCTTGAGTTTTAACTAAAACTTATTTACCCACTGACACCTGAACTGGACTCCGAGGCTTTAGTGCAAAAAAACAAACTTTTAATTTATCAGAACAGTAAAAACATTTAACCCGGAGTGAAACATTATTTTAAGTCACAGGGATAAGCAGAAACTAACCCAACAGGTAAACATAATTAAACTACAGGTTTGCAGACAAGAAGAGTTTCAGGAAACTAGATCTTTACATTCAGGTCCGTTTCTACAGAAGGAAAACAAATAAAGTGACTACAGAATAATACTTTCATTTCGTCTTCTTCCTGTTAAGGCTTTGGTTGGTGGTTCAGGTGGGCACAGGCTGGTGGGAGGAGCTTGGAGCGCTGGGCGTCACAGCAGCTCGTCGACTGTTGAGCAGCGCCTGAATCTGCATCGTGAGCTAAGAGAGAAGTCAAAGGTGAGGTTGGCCCCCGTTAGGATCCTGTGTTTACAGTAACGTTTGCTCAGGAGGGACGGACTTACAGACTCGTGGTTTCTGAGGGTTTCTTGATAAAAGGCATGCATGAGAATATGTCTGTTATCATCAGACTGTTTCCAATTCTCAGCTTTCTTGTTCAGCTCGGCTTCTGGCAACAAAGGGTACTGCTGGCGCTACAGGAGAAAACAGGAGTAAATATTAGAAAGATCTCCTGTTATTGGAGAGGAATTTTTTACACATTGTTTTATCGAACTCTAATGTAGCTTTCTGTTTTTAGTGCAATCCAACAATCAGCGCCCACAAATCCGATTTTTAGTCGGATCCAACAGAAAATTTAGTGCTCCACGAAAGTCAATGGGGATGATTTCCTGCAGGGCGCTGCATAGCTCCGACTGAGATAGCGCCCAGGTCTATTTTGGTCGGACTACGCAGCAATCCTGCAGCAATTTCATGGGTCTGGCAGAAAGAGAGCCGCGGTTAGAAAGTAAAACAATCCGCTTTGGGGGAAAATATTAAATAAATCTGTTAATCGCACGGAGAAAGAGTCAGTTTGGAGTCACACATTGTGTGGACCGCAGGCAAGCAGGACGGACTGGTGCCAAAACAA